GCACGTATTTGATTGACGAGAAGAAACGAAAGAAAGAAAAAAAAATCAAGGACTTTAAAATAGATGCCAGTGAAAAAAAAAACACGGAAAATGAATTTTCAAAACAATACTAAAATGAATTGAAAAGGAAAAGAAAGGAATGGGAAAGTTTTGCTGGATGGGTTGAGTAGGTTATACCGTTGGAGATCTTTTTTTTAATAGCTTACGGGATGGGGGTCATTATGAAGTGTAGGTAACCCCCACCCTTCGGTCGTCATTGAAGAAAAGATAGACGTAGAAAGCGGGCAGAATACTGGGTCTCTTAACAGGGTGAAAAGAGCGATATAATTTTGAAATGTGTTATAATGAACAAAAGTTTCTGAGAGAAGAAAAAACTTATCAACGTTCGTAAATTCTGAAATACATTAACACCATTAAGTGAGAAGACATGTGTGCACATTCACATTTGCGTAAAATAAAACAAGACATGCATGCGATCATACACATACAAGTATACACATGCGCACACAAATATATACACGCATGCATCTTTTACATATATGAAAAACAAATTTAATCCGTCAAAATATCGACTTGGAAAGAAGCAAAAATATTTTATCAACGAGAAAAATTAATTTAATAAAGATTATAGAAACAGAGAAATTTAAGACGAAACTGGCATTTATGCAAATTCAGTCAAAGTTTGGCATATATGCGGCAAATTTCACAAAAATTCAATTTTTCGCCAAAATATTTTTAAATTAGCGAAAACAATTTCAAGAATTTTATTTTATCTATTTATTTACTTATTCATAACAATTTGGATGAATCAGGTTTTGTCAGCGTGCAGAGCGAAATTCTGAATTTTTAAAAAAAATAAATATGTTGCAAAAACTTTCAAAATTAAGTAAAATCTGAAAAAATAATTTCGACATCATCGGAGGCAATCACAGATTCGGGTAAGATTTTTGTACGCACACAGAAGCAAATGTGTCGATTTTTATAAAATGTATTTGAATTTAATAAAAAAAATAGAGAAATCTATATTTTTTAGGATTCAGTCGCAGCCAATTTTTATGAGTTAGAAGAGGGGAGGGGTCAATAAATGATTCTGTCAACAATGAGACATTTATAAAAATCAGCTGTGTGCGCGTGCGCGAGTTTGTGTGTGTGTCCAAGATTGTTTCTGGTTCCCCGCAAAGAAAAAAAAATGAAAACTCTATGCACTGCCATTCGACACACAGTACATATACTCATTCTACGACTAGATATACATAGGTGTATATGTCAGCCTGTATGCTTGTACATATAGAATGCTCCAGAAATTCATATAGAGAAAAATACATTAATCGGCTTTCAGAAATAGAAAAGACAACAAAGGCCAGCATGGCGGTTGTGAGTGTTGTATGTTTGCTAGCGGCAATATGGTCAGTATTTGAAGCCAGTTTCAAACCAGGCGTTTCCCATCAAGGTCACGGACACTTCATGACATCTGTTAGCTCTTTTAACCGAAAGACAATGAATATTTACAAAAAAAAAAACAAATATTTGGACACATAAACTGTCTCCATAAAAAATAATTGTTGCATGCCTGCATGATTTCAGAGAAATTTAAAGAGAAATTTTGCCTAAATCCTCGAGTATTTGTCATCACTGTATATTGTCACACTGTAGCTAAAACGGGAAACTCTCATTTTTGTTTCAAGATATCTACAAAAACATCTAAATTCCACGTAAAATGTTAAAACAAAAGCAGCATTGTTAATCTTTATGAAGACTTCTATAGATATTAAGAAAATTTCAAATCTGAGTATAAAATCTGAATATATATATATATATATATATATATATATATATATATATATATATATATATATATATATATATCACTGTCTACATTCCATATAAATGTTCACACATTTCAAACGGCATTTTCTATGTAAAGCAACTACTGGAAGATATAAAACAACCAAGTTAAAATGATTGTTCTGGGGCATAGTAAAAACATTATAAGAAAATCTTACAAGCATTTAGACATTAGTCAGGCTGAAGATTATTTTTCATGCAAATTGTTATATAAAGAAACTGTTTTTTTTATCCATAAATAACGTAATAGACCAACTCACTTTTTATCGCTATACGGTAACTATGATGATCAGCGAGTTCTCTAGAGTAAGAAGTGAGGTTTTGAGCTGTTTACTTAATCTTCAGGAGGCAGTCACCGACATTTAGCTCATAATTCGTGCTTATTACTAGGATATACTGAAACTTCCCAAAACGTGACCAAATATTTGTAGGTCAGATCAAGAATTCCCGCGTACAATAGAGCATGTAGGGGCGGAATGATTGCATGATGGGGATTTTTTTATGTATCTGGTCTTCTTCCACTTGAAAATCATTTCTCCTCTATGAAAATGATGTGAACTAATTTTAGTGTGCAAATTCTTACTCGCATTCCACCGACTTAAAGGTTTCTCCCACACGAAACACTCAAACAACGGACCAGCAAACTGGTACCATGCCCGAAATCTATTAATGTGAAAGAGTAGCAAAATTTATTTCTAAAATTGTTTTTTCCAGGTGTCAATGACTTATATAATGGAAATTAAACGTAAGTGGACATTTTCCAACAAGCTAATAGTATATCACACACGGAAGATTGAGCAAAATCATGATTTGTGTGAGATTCTTTGTCCGAGACTTTTTCGCGTTGTCATTTTCTAGATCTTAACCACCATAGAGAACTTATGGACACATATTAAGGTCAAAGACCTTGAGCAAACAGCTCAGTTTTCTAAAGAATAACAAAAAAAAGCTATCCCAGTCGAAAAACCTATTCTGTAAATACTGTATTTACTGTTGTATAATATCCTTATATATTTAACATGTTTTCTTTAGTTATATTTGTTGATAAATTATTCTAACAAAATATTCCTCTTCAGCATTTGATAGTAAGTCTCCAATGCTCTTTCTAATGAATGTAAATAATCAATAAATTTTTCCATTTAATTCTGATAGGAAAAGTTTTTGTATGCTGTTTAGCAAAGCTAATGATTCAAAGGTCAGAGATTAATAGGCAGCCTGCTATGAAGGCTTCATTTTTATCTGATTCAGCTTTAGCAAAATTATTTCTACAACATGAGGGCAAAAGCTATCATACAACCAAAAAATAGTATATCTCTTTACTAACTTGACTTCTAAATGCACATATTGATGTACTTTTAAGGAAGCTATCATGTTTCACTGCGTATCTTCTCTCACTAAACGACTACGGTAACAATTGGTAAGTGCTAATTATTATTTAGTAAATGTTTCGTCTTCTCTGAACCCAGACATTGTGCAGATCAACATCACAACTTTAATCAAAAGTGATGATACAAAGCAAAACGGATCATTCTTATATTGTTGAGCACGATCTTTGAGAATTCCAATATTCTTAATTATTCTTCCACATTCGAATAAAATATTTTGTTCTCCCCCACCAGTCGCACTGAATTGAGTTAAAATAATCTGAAATATTTCTGCTTCAGTTTTTGAATCATTCTCCACGACACTTTCAAATCTTCATTGCTGTTTGATAGATGAAACCGAAGTTTCTTCTGGTTTCTAAAGCGATACGTTCACTTACGTTAAATTTCATATCTATCTTGCAATCTGTATATCTATCTGTATTTATATTACTCTGTTTATATCTATAACTCTATGTATGTCAAACGCTGTAATTTACACACACACACATATATATATATATATATATATATATATATATATATATATATATATATATATATATATATATATATATATATACTCACGCGTACATTTATATAGATTTGGGAGTGTATGTGTATGTGTGAGTCTCTGTTCATGTCGGCACGTGTTATACCATATGTATGTAAACAGCTCGGTTTTGAATCACTGACACTCTAGAAACTATTTTCAAATTTTTACTTTATATTTTATTTCTTTTCTCATTGATTTTCTTTTCATTCCCTTTCTTCAACTTTCATTCGCTGTTTTCTTTCCTTTCTTTTTATATTTCTCCCTTCATTTTTATTTTTTCGTTTACTTTTGAATTACATTCTTTTTTTTCGCTTGAAAGTTTCTTTCCTTTCATTTTTAAGAATATATTTCTATCCTTTTTCTTTTTGTATTTTATTTCACTTTCTCTCTAACTCTGTTCATATCTATCAATTTCTTTCTGCTCATATCTATCTATCTATCTATCTATCTATCTATCTATCTATCTATCTATCTTTACACTTTCTTCTTTTATTCATTTCTTTAGTAAACATTTCTTTTATTTTCTGTTTTTTTTTTATTTCTCCTACCCTAACCCGAAAAACAATTCCCTGTTTGAGTCTCTCTTTTACTCTCTTTCCAATTTTCACTATTTAAAAGACCAATCCAATGTCCTTTCTTCTCTGATTGGCCAGTAGCGGCAGCAGCTGCCGTCGGACGCGTGTCGCTTTAGATTGACACAGGAGACCCAGCACCTGCCTCTGACGTCATAATAGCTGACCGACGCACCCGTCTAAACGTTTTCTTTCCTACTTGTGTATGTATATGTGTAAGCGTCCTTGCGTGTGTGTGTGTGTGTGTGTGTGTGTGTGTGTGTGTGTGTGTGCGTATACATTTATTTTTCTTGCCCCCTCTATTATTAAGTTTTTTTTTTCTTTTTTATGACTGCCTAGCAGGGGTGCACGGGATAAGTTTGTAGGTGGGAGCTTCAGATTTAAGTGAGGGTTGAGGCAGGAGGTGGAATTTTTTTATGAGTCCCGATTTCTGGGTATCGGGTACTTAGGTGTGTAAGGTGGGTGATTGCTGTCATGAAATAAAGACAGGGTGGAAGGTGATGGAATAGGGTGGGGGAATTATGTTAGCAAAAGAAAACCTCGGGAGTGGTGTTGGGGAAGTTGGGTAGTTTCAAAAGGTAGTCAAAGGAATGATGCGAAAAGACTTGATATTGTGATAGGGATGTTGAGGTAATGTGGACTGGTGGTAGTTTCGTTGGGCATTAGTTAGGTTTGAAAAAAGAAGAAGAAGAAGAAGAAGAAGGAGGAGGAGGAGGAGGAGGAGAAGAAGAAGGAGGAGGAGGAGGAGGGGGAGAAGAAGAAGAAGAAGAAGAAGAAGTAGATATCGAAAAACACAAAAACAATTCTAGCATAGATTAAAGTAAATGTGAGAAATGTAAGTTTAAAAATTGAATGGGAGAAAGATTGAAGAAATAAATCAGATAAATAAGAAGAAACACAAACAAAGAGGGGAATAGGGCAAAAGAAAGAAACAGCCCCGAGAAATTATATCAAGCTGGATAGAGGGAGAAAATTAGAAAGATAGAAAAAATGGAAGAGAAAGGAATGGGTGATGATAATTTAGTTTCCCTTGAATGTCATCGTTTCTGTTAAGATCGGGGGTGGGGGTTGCAAAAGGATAATTCGAAGCCCAGGCAAGAGGTAAATCGAAATAGGTTGATTTAGTGATTGTTACTGTGAAGGATGAGTTTGGGTTGAAGCAGGGAGTATGGGTACCCAAGCGGTGAGTAGTAAGGGGAAATTGATTATACAAAGGAGACTGCGGTTGTACCTGGGAGAGTCGTGTAAAGCTGAGAAACGGAAGGGTGGAATATAGGAAAAGGTAAAAATAAGAAATGAACGAATAGGTTATGTTTTACCTTTATTTACTTTTTTGGGTGGTTTAGAGAAGATTCTGAGGTAAAGAAAAAGCAGCAAATCAAGTCTTGTGGGTATTCGAAGGATGTATGAGGTTGATTCGAGATAGTGTGAATGATAAACTGAAAGAGTTACAAGGTTGATTCGAGATAGAGAGGTGTAAGAAGTGAAGGATTTACAGGCTTGATTCAAGATAGAAAGATGAATGAAGTAGTTACAGGGTGGATTCGAGAGAGAGAGAGAGAGAGATGAACTAAAAGACTCACAGGGCTGATTTTGGACAGAAAGATGAATGGACTGAAGTAGTTACAAGGTTGATTCGAGAGAGAGATGAATTGAAAGGACTTACAGGGTTGGTTCGAAAGATGGGTGAACAAGGTTGATTCAAGTTTGAACGATAGATGAACTGATGTAGTTACAATGTGGATTCAAGAGATGGATGAACTAAAAGGACTTACAGTTTTGACTCGAGAGATGTATGGATTAACAGACTTACAGGCTTAATTCAAAATAGAGGTGGATGAACTGAAGTAGGTACAGGGTTGATTCAAGAGATGGATGAGCTGAACGACTTGCATGGTGTATTCAAGATAGAGAGATAGATGAACTGAAGTAGTTACTGAGTTGATTCTTGAGAAGGATGAACTAAAGGACTTACAGGGTTGATCTGAGATAGGCAGGTTGTTGAACTTTGCGTTGTTGATAGTGTGAACTTGATAATGTACAAAGTTGTTAATGACACGATGTAAAATTAGTTTCTTTGTTGACAACAGTGTCCATGGAAGAGCTAAAGTTATCTCTTAGTTTTTGAAATGGAATATATTTCTACCGTCTTACGAGTCAATGATGGTATTTATTTGTCTGCCTGCATAAACGAAAAGGTTAAATAAAGTATGGCATCCAATGTGCGTATGGGTGGATAGAGACAATCCTCTGTCTGAATCGCGAAGACGTAAGAATGAATCCTAACACTTTTTAGGATAATTGGAAGAATCTGAAAGAGAAATTGGAAACCCTACGGATCATACAGGGTGCAATTTTGCCCTATCTCACTCGAAAATGAGACATCACTGGTCATAGTTAACAGACTTTGGGGAGATCCAATATTTATTTACCTCTTTAAGTGGGCAAATACGATACAACTTTGATTTAATGCGGTACAGTGCATATATGTGAAAAGAGTCCAAAGTTGCCTGTACAAGAGAGGCATCATAGAGAAACATCAACCTCTCTTTTTGGTGTAATGGAAAAAGAATTATCCAGTATTTAGAATCTACAGGGGTGAAACGATTTCATATTTCTTTGGAGATGCGATTGATCTGAGACATTTTAAGATTCATACTTAATATTAAATATTTGAATTGTTTAGGGGGTATTCGAAATCCCGATTTTTTATGAAGGATTCAGAATAGATATCATTGTGACGTCCCTGAACACAGCCTTCGCTCGCTCCTCGCTGCTTCGTTCGGGTGTCGCCGCTCCAAACGTGACGTCCGCCTGTCTCGTCAGTCGTGTTGTCTCGTCCTGTGATGACCAACTGGCTTGGTATCGGTCGCGGCACCCAAATGTGACGTTCTAACCTTTTGGTGATTCGGATGGGAATCTGGTTAGATTCGATATCAGCCTCGTCGTTCCCAACTCGCTTCCAACGTCCTGGTTACCAAAGTAACTGCGTTGATCTCCAGTCTGCCTACCCACGTTGTGAATTGATCTTAGGCAGACGAAATCAATCAGTCGTTGGGGCCGTAATGCAAGTTGGGTTCAAGCGGGGTGGTATCGCACAAATATGTATAAAAGAAATAAAATGATAACTCAAAAGTTCAAGGTATCAAAAAAAAGGATAACAAACTTTATGTCTAGTTGTTGGATACATAGGACTGCGTCTATCTCCCGACCCGTTCTATGGATTGTGACACGTTGTTTTTTTTGTTAGGCGAGTTTTAACACTTTCAGTTGTTTGTTCTTTAAGAAATTGGTTTTTTTTTTTTGGTGTGTCTTCAGGCGAAAGTCGAAAAAAACTTATTTTGGTGGTCTGGATCTAAGTCGCTCTTCAAAATAATTGTTCTTGGATTGAAGATGAGTTCGGAATTTGCGCGAATCTTGGTCAGCTGCGAGGCCTGCTTCAACTGAGCACTCCTCGAACTCAACTCTGGGACTCTCTCTCTCGAACTCAACTCTGGAACTGATCTCTGGAACTCGCTCGCTGCGACTTTGCTTATATGGACGCCGACCAAAACCGGGGTGGGTTTGTCGGCGTCGGGGGTTTCCTCGATAATTCTAAATACATATCCACTTCTTTTATTTTTGGTTAGAATTTTCCACTTCTTTCCATTTTTGGGGCCTCTTCTCTTACTCCCCACCTTCTCACCATACTTCAGAGGGGCGTCAACTGTCCTCCCCACTTCTTCGTAGCAACCTCTCATACCCATCCTCTAAATGGGCGGCGACAGCTTCCTCCTTGCGTCACGTGATCACCACTCGGCCAATGATGTCCAGCCGGGCGTGTACGATCCCGCGGGCTTTGTTTCAGGAAAAAAAAATATATCTTGCTCAAAAAAAAAATTATCTTTTTTTTTTCCTTTTCTTTCCTCTCGACATCGTCAGTTGGCCGCCAACAGAACAATCGACCAATTATCTAGAATGGACTTCGTCAGTCAGATTTTCGCTAATTATCAACACGTCCAGCAAAACACAGTCGCCTCGTCTCCTCGAAAAAAAACATTTCCATTGTTCCATTCATTCTTTTTGTGCACATTTCTGATAACATAGTTTTATTATCGCAGCTAAAGATGTCTTGTCAAAAAAAAACGGTCAGTCGTTACTCTTGTTTCGCGGCTTTGCAGACGACACAGTTAATTTTTCATATCTATCCAAAGCCCTGTAGTTCACCTGTTTTTTGTCAATTATCAAAATAACATTTTCAATTGGATTTTTCTTTGGCTAGTCGGTCTGTGGTTTGCTAATTAGATGTTTTCCAGCATTAAGCGGTTTGTTTATCTATCCCCGATAACAAAAGTTCGTCGCCAGAACACATCGATTCCTTTATCCACTTAGAATTTTTCTGCCATTGGTAATGACACCTTTTCGCCATTTGCTACTTATCAAAATAACCTTTATCCATTGTCTCTTAGTCGTGGGTGTTTTTTATCTACGCTTTGGGTCTCGCCTCTCTTTTCCTTTCTTTCCTTTCTCTTTTCCTTTCTTTTCTTTTTTTTTTTTTCCTGTTAAATGGTGCCACCATCCTCCCTAATATATTATTTGTCATTTTACTCGTTTTGAACAAAATTTTCCCATTTAGCATGCATCATTTGCTTTGTCCCATTTTTCTATACTATTTTCTATATGCAATGTAATGTTCTCTTTTCAACTTCTTCTGTTCTACAATTCGCAATGTAATGTTCTTTTACTTTCAAAATTCTTCTTATCTTTTTTGCATTTAATGTTCTTTTCCTTTCTTCTCTTTTAGTCACAAAACTGTTCTCTTTCAATTTCTTCTGTTCTGTTATCAAAATGTAATGTTCATATTTTCATCTTCTTCTGTTCTAATCCTGGGAGTACGTCTTTCATAATTGCCTTAATGTATATGTTCTTCTGTTCTTCCAATGAGATGACCCATTCGTTCTTTTCATCTTCTTCTATTATATTTACAAATGTAATGTTCCCATTTCAAAGTTGTATGCTCCTGTATAAGTTTTGGCGATATTTTAATATCTTTCTCAAATATGTTATGCTTAGTATGGCTTGTTCTTCTTTCTCATGTTTTTCTCTCCGTTTTTAGATAATCAATCCGCAAGCAAGTTTAGATTCTTTAAACAGGAATTTCCGCCGGTTGGTCCTGAAATCTCTTCGCCTATTCTTATTTTTTTTTTTTGCTCTCCTCTGCTCACAATGATGGGGAAAGCATGCAACTGCTCTTTGACAGTATCGTTCGTTAATCTCCAGTTCCATTAATCAAGAAGCAATGCTGTACAAACCTCCGAAGGGAAGCTATCAAACGAGGTCTAATAAAACGTAGTTTCCACTGCCACTTGAGTAAAATAAATATCCTCGAAGAGAATTTTTTTTTTATCTCCGCGTCCGGTGCGACAGACCAACGGATCAACCGCGGACCTGATAAAATTACGGACACAGGTCGTATCCCAAATCAACGACTTCATCTCTTTAAAGGGAAAATGGTAATCCCATCCGATTGCTTTCATCACAGCGGTCAAGGCTTACGGGTTCGATTTGGGAAGGGAACCCAACTGCATCCAGACCTCTTCTGATGATTTATTTGCCCAAGACTATTGTCTTTGTATTGCTCTTTCTTATATCCTACCGACCATAAGTATCGCTGTTTTTTTTCCAGTATTTAACAAAACGGCACTGTTCTTCTTCTTTTATGCTCTGAATCTGCTGCGCTCTGGTCGTCATAAATTGGATGATAAGTTCTGCTATTAGGCTCATTTGACCGGAGTTCACATTCGTTTGCATCTGGTTTCTTACGATGCGCTATGAAAATAGATTGACTTAAGTCTTCAGACACTACAAATAGTTACATATGGACGTTTATGCTTAGCATCAGAAACAAATAGTCTAAATTTCTAGGGAACATAATGAAGAAAGACAGCTTAGAAATGGACATATTAACAACAAGCGAAACAGAGAGAAAAAAAAGGAGCAAACTAACAAGGTTGTGTTTAAGTGGCTGGTAGATCATGGATTTGGAGAGATAGCAACAACTTTTACTAAGAGCTGAAAAAAAACAGCAAATTGGGCAGAGCCATAAGCACTGGCAGTGACAAGGCACAAAGAAGAAGAGGAGAAGGAAGGATCAGGAGACTAGGGGGAGAAGAAGACAAAGAAGAAGAAGAAGAAAAAACAGACTAACTACTCTTGAATTCAAAACAAATTAAAAAAAAGTAACGGGAAAAAATCTATTATATTTCTCAAGATGTCATAACAATTACAATATGATAAATAAAAGAAATCTTCGTAGAGCCATGATTAAATATGCCAAGAATTGTTATGGCATTTTTAAAATGTGTATTACTGCAATACAGTTTACTCAAATATTTTAAAATCTATCTGTCTCTCGCCAATATATCTATCTCTGCTTATATATATATATATATATATATATATATATATATATATATATATATATATATATATATATTTTAACATACAACGTGTGTTAGCACGTGCGATACCCTCGTCTTCATCAGCCGACGACCAGGGGTTATACCACGGTTTCGGTGGCTTTGGCTTTCTCCAGTGTGCTGTCGCTCAACGATGGAATCCTGAACGCTGTGGGTGTATTCCAGATTCATAATCCCATCACTTTTATTTACATTCTCCGATAGGAGAATTACGTTGTTTGCACCAGTAAATATATATATATATATATATATATATGTGTGTGTGTGTGTGTGTGCGTGTGTGTGTGTCTGTGTCTGTGTCTGTGTCTGTGTGTGTGTGTAAAAAGGTCAAATGAGTTCCTTTGGCTGTGTAATCTAAGTGCGTCCTAGTAATATAAAAATATTAAAATTGATCCACAAAAAGAGAGCTTGATGTATTTTATTTGTACAGAGCAATATAATGAATAATCATTTTTTTTTTTACCATATGCGGGGAATAGGCTATTTTGGCAGACGATAAAAGTGGTCTTCTGTTGTTTTTTTTTTTCACCACGATATGGAAATAGAATTTACATTCGTAGAGCTAGAGGAAGTAAATTTAACTGTAAAAAGTAATATTGGAAAGAGGTAACGTATATATATATATATATATATATATATATATATATATATATATATATATATATTATGTATTATCTTAGACAGTAATTTTGAGTAACGGATCTATAGAAAAATGGTGACGTAATGTTTATAGTTGCATAGTATAAATATATTTAAAAATATTCTCTCGTCTCGTTAAATGGTTACGTTTTTTTTAATTAGCCTGACGTTGCTGAAATAAAAGTTATTTCTTACATCGTTTCGATGTAGGAATAGAGTTAGAATGTTTGTCTAAACGCAAGCTTCTCAGGTAAAGGGAAAAATCACGTGATTTAAAACCCGGATCTACAAACACAAGAGAGACTTGACTGTGAGAAAAGAGCACCACGACGCAATGCATTCCACGGGAAATCCGAAAAATGCATGCACTGCTGATAGGAGTCCGCATTTGAGGATCCAATGTGAACATTTCAGGGTGTTTGGGTGTCAATCCAAATAAAATG